ACACGACAACAAGTTGATTGAACAGGTAAATCCTAATTTAACCTGCAGTAGTGTCAATGCTATTACTAGGTTAAAAGTTAAGAAGCCGATAACAACTCGTAATAAACCAACGACTGCATGCTGGTTATGTGGTGATTGGCATTATGTACGATTCTGTCCATTTAAAAAGCATATATGTCAGGTGTGCAGCAAACGTGGACATAAAGAAGGTCATTGTCCACCGAATCGTACGTCTCATCCCAAAAAGAAGCATAAACGTTCTCGACATGTGAAATCAGCCGAGTTTAAATCTCTTTCTCTGGTAGCTGCCTTTCAAACAAACTATGACATTCGGAGAAAGTATGTTACCATCCAGATAAACGGCATATCAGCTCGTCTTCAAATTGACACGGCATCAGATATCACCTTAGTATCTAGAGAAACGTATAACTTGCTGGGTAAACCGCCAATGAAGCCATCTAAGAAAACGGCCAAAAACGCATCAGGTGGTGTGCTAAAACTGGTTGGTGAATTACAGTGTGAATTTTCCTTCAATGGAACTAACTGTACAGGAATATGTTACCTAACAGAACGGCCAAACCTTGATCTTCTTGGTCTAGATATGTTAGATAAACTTGGAATAATGGATGTACCGATTAACAGTGTCTGCAACGTATTGTGTTCATCATTAGACACCCCAGTACTTGCAAAGAAGACAGGTGAAAGGTTACTAGAAAAACTGAAAAGAAAGTTTGCCTCCATAGCAGTAGACCCAGAAATACGAAGTATAGTGGCAGATGCCATTCGAAACACTCCAGTGTCGTCAGATGAAGTCAGAGAAGAAACTCTTCGAGACCCGATTCTACAAGAAGTTAGAAAGTTCCACCTGGAAGGATGGCCCACGAAGATCAGTTCCACAGAGCTTCAACAGTTTTACCAGCGTAGACTCTCTCTCTCAATCATCGACGACTGCCTGCTGTTTGCAGAACGTGTCATAATCCCAAAGAAGCTACAACCAGCAGTGCTTGAACAGTTGCACGCAGGACATCCTGGAATAAATCGCATGAAAGCATTAGCACGAAGTTATGTATACTGGCCGCATTTAGACACTCAACTGGAGCAGCTATCCCGTTCATGTACCAAATGTGCATTAGCAACGAAAGCACCGCGAAAAGCAGAGCTGCAATCATGGCCAATACCACAGTCACCGTGGCAGCGTATACACTTGGACTTTGCTGGTCCACTTCATGGACAAACTTACCTTTTGGTAGTTGATGCATATAGCAAGTGGCCAGAAATCTTTCTCATGGAACACCCGACTGCAAGCTGCACAGTCAGTAAGCTACGTCAACTATTCAGTCGTTTCGGAGTCCCGGAATTGATAGTTAGTGACAACGGAACACAGTTTACGTCCGTAATTTTCTCACAATTTTGTCGGCAGAACGGAATCCATCACGTCCGAACACCTCCATTCCATCCCCAATCAAATGGTCAAGTGGAACGCTTTGTGAGTACATTTAAAAATGCTCTAAAAAAATCTAAAGGGGAGGGGACCACCGAAGAGATCTTAGAGAGGTTCCTGCTTATTTATCGCTCGACACCGAACCCTCAGACGATTAAGGGGGTCTCTCCAGCAGAAGCTCTACTTGGCAGAAAAATACGAACACATTTCGATGTCATCCGTCCTACGCCAGCTCTTGAGCCTCAACGAAACCTATCTATGGAGAATCAGTTCAATCGACATCATGGGGCACAAAAACGATTGTTCACGGTGGGACAAAAAGTACTTGCTATGGACTATCGTGAGAAACATCCTACATGGACAGCTGGTCGGTTCCTGAAAAAGAAGGGGAGTGTGGTTTATGAGGTGTCAGTTGGCTCAGAAGTTTGGGTACGTCATGCTAACCAATTGAAAGCAACTTCGATAGCCAGCAACGAGATTCAATATCGATTACCTCTTGATGTTCTGCTAGACACCTTTGAAATCAAAACGCCTGGAACAGACAGGTCAGTTTCTGTGCAAGCAAAGAGTGATACTTCTTTATTGCCTAGACGATGGACAAATCGAAAGCACAGGCCAGTCACTCGGTTGCAGTTGGACCCTAGCACCAGATCCTACGAATCTGCTCAAAGGGGAGGTGTTAGTGGGACATAGATTGGATTTAAGCATGCTCAATGCACGATTGCTTTTGCGCACGCTGATTGGCTGATTTTTATCCAATCAGCGCTAGTCTATACATGGAGAAGCTTCTAGATTCTTCTTATGTAAAAAGCTATAAATATACTAACGGTTTTCCTATTTCGCTTCTTGCTTCTTGCTTCACCTAACCTTGTTATTTGGAATATAATCTTCCTGCTCAATCGTGTTCTGATTTGGGGCCTTGTCGAGTGAATCTGTGACCGTGAATACTAAGCGATAGGAATAGCTGGGTTATAACCGTAAGAGCGAAAATATAACACACTCAATATTGCAGCAACCGAATTCCGATAGACAATAATATCTACCCGAGAGTGCAGCTGCGTTAACTGCCTGCACACAAACCAACACCATCACATATCCACCACAATCCATACACAAACAATCAATATCGCTGAGCTCCAACCCGAAAACAGAGATCACACTCTGTCGGTGTGATACACAGCTCTACATTTATGCCCAGTACACAATGTATTATGGGCAACAACTGACATCACTACCAACACAAACACTCGCCATATTCATTCAACCACAATCACAAACCTTTCACAAACACACTACAACAGACCGACACACACATACACACACACACACCTAATAAACATAAACACACATACAACCAACAACACTATTGTCACAAATGCAAATACCACAATTCATATTTAACATGAATACAAACACTCTCAGAACATGTCAACCCTCAATGATGGACTGCCACAGTCACAGGCAGTAAGAGGCAAGGGTAACACTCAATATTGCAGCAACCGAATTCCGATAGACAATAATATCTACCCGAGAGTGCAGCTGCGTTAACTGTCTGCACACAAACCAACACCATCACATATCCACCACAATCCATACACAAACAATCAATATCGCTGAGCTCCAACCCGAAAACAGAGATCACACTCTGTCGGTGTGATACACAGCTCTACATTTATGCCCAGTACACAATGTATTATGGGCAACAACTGACATCACTACCAACACAAACACTCGCCATATTCATTCAACCACAATCACAAACCTTTCACAAACACACTACAACAGACCGACACACACATACACACACACACACCTAATTAACATAAACACACAAACAACCAACAACACTATTGTCACAAATGCAAATACCACAATTCATATTTAACATGAATACAAACACTCTCAGAACATGTCAACCCTCAATGATGGACTGCCACAGTCACAGGCAGTAAGAGGCAAGGGTAACACTCAATATTGCAGCAACCGAATTCCGATAGACAATAATATCTACCCGAGAGTGCAGCTGCGTTAACTGCCTGCACACAAACCAACACCATCACATATCCACCACAATCCATACACAAACAATCAATATCGCTGAGCTCCAACCCGAAAACAGAGATCACACTCTGTCGGTGTGATACACAGCTCTACATTTATGCCCAGTACACAATGTATTATGGGCAACAACTGACATCACTACCAACACAAACACTCGCCATATTCATTCAACCACAATCACAAACCTTTCACCAAACACACTACAACAGACCGACACACACATACACACACACACACCTAATAAACATAAACACACAAACAACCAACAACACTATTGTCACAAATGCAAATACCACAATTCATATTTAACATGAATACAAACACTCTCAGAACATGTCAACCCTCAATGATGGACTGCCACAGTCACAGGCAGTAAGAGGCAAGGGTAACACTCAATATTGCAGCAACCGAATTCCGATAGGACAATAATATCTACCCGAGAGTGCAGCTGCGTTAACTGCCTGCACACAAACCAACACCATCACATATCCACCACAATCCATACACAAACAATCAATATCGCTGAGCTCCAACCCGAAAACAGAGATCACACTCTGTCGGTGTGATACACAGCTCTACATTTATGCCCAGTACACAATGTATTATGGGCAACAACTGACATCACTACCAACACAAACACTCGCCATATTCATTCAACCACAATCACAAACCTTTCACAAACACACTACAACAGACCGACACACACATACACACACACACACCTAATTAACATAAACACACAAAACAACCAACAACACTATTGTCACAAATGCAAATACCACAATTCATATTTAACATGAATACAAACACTCTCAGAACATGTCAACCCTCAATGATGGACTGCCACAGTCACAGGCAGTAAGAGGCAAGGGTAACACTCAATATTGCAGCAACCGAATTCCGATAGACAATAATATCTACCCGAGAGTGCAGCTGCGTTAACTGTCTGCACACAAACCAACACCATCACATATCCACCACAATCCATACACAAACAATCAATATCGCTGAGCTCCAACCCGAAAACAGAGATCACACTCTGTCGGTGTGATACACAGCTCTACATTTATGCCCAGTACACAATGTATTATGGGCAACAACTGACATCACTACCAACACAAACACTCGCCATATTCATTCAACCACAATCACAAACCTTTCACAAACACACTACAACAGACCGACACACACATACACACACACACACCTAATTAACATAAACACACAAACAACCAACAACACTATTGTCACAAATGCAAATGCCACAATTCATATTTAACACTGAACATATTCATTGAAGCACAATCACAAAGCTTTCCACAAGTACTGTCCTATGCACTTATTGTTTGATTCTCATATCTATATGCCTTGTACTTTACTGAGGTGTATAATGAAGAATGGCGTATCGTTGTAATTAGATTAAGCAAAAAAATTTAGAAGTGATTTTCTTTTGTCTAAATGTCCCCTGAATATTATCAATGTAATTGGAAATACTTACTTAGCTAGTGAAATCAATTTTTTCAAGGACAGTTCATCAGGAGTAATATGAAAATTTATGTTACAATGATTGGTGCGTAATTGAAGTTTTTGTACAGCTTGTACGACTGCCATTATTTGGAATAATCGCTCTTTTTCTTCTATGGTTATTCTATTTTCTATTAGAAAAGAAAAAGATTTCATGGATAGTATTTTTCAATTAATTCTGTGGAAATATAGTTCCCAATGAGGAATTCATTTCAATACATAAACATTTGGTACAATGAGGCGCCACATAAATCATTCAATTTATGTGATAGCTGGGAAATTTCCCGGGTGGTTTTTTTTAGACGGTCACACTCGGAGCCTTCGACCTAAAGGTCTAATTCACAAGGCAGTGGAATAACGTCAGGAGATGCAATTCCATGGTAGCCAGTCATCAATAATTGATTAATATGCCATTCGTTTTCTTAGGATCGTGGAACCCATGTACACTATTGGTTTGAGATCAGGGTTTTCCAATTGCACCAGGTGAATTCTTAGTATCCGCCAACGTGGTTAAAGCGTCGATCATTCGCTTTACGTCCTCTCAATTTGGTTAATAACACCTCCGCCACAAGAAAGCAGAATAAGTTAGTAATCGATTAGTCAATAGCTTTCAATTTCAAATATCCATTTCTAAGATAGTTTCAACAAACAGAGAAATTTAAATCACCAACATACACAAATAAAAAGAAAGAAAATAAGATGTAATTCTAACCTGAATTGAACTCAGTAGAACAATGTAGAGTATTTACAAGTGTCTTTAATGTATCAGCCAATAGTTTTAAAATATTTTCCACTGGTAATGGTCTATTGTAAAGGGAAAGATAAAAGAAGAAAAACATATTCGTCTTGGTTAGGATATACTAAGTTTCCAATGTGATAAATATCAACGAAGACGATTGAAAGTACAATATCGTGTCAAATCATTTTTAAAGATGTTATACATTGTTGAGGAATCCTATCATTAAGCGAAACGTCCATCCACCGCTTTCAGGTTTTCTAAGGTGGTCTAGCTTTAATTGACTCATGATCTCAACTATTCTAAACAAGTTACATATTTGAATCATGATCAATATGCATCGATTTGGATAGTTATGAAGTATTGTTGAAGCGTTACATAAATTAAACTAATCAATGCTGAATAATCAGATTACAATTAACCATATACAAGATTACACTTGTTACATATGAGGATCGGTTCAACTTCGCATAATATATTAGCACAAAGAAATAGAATACAATGTGTAAACCAGTCGACGATAGTAGGATCGATTCTGAACAATACCAATCAATGTCTTCAACTAATGATTGTGATGATCATGTGATAAAAATATCAGGCAAATGGTTTATATCAAAAAGTACGATTAAGATCAACATCGCGTAGGTTAGTTCCTGCATAGATGTCAACGACTTGTTATTACCCGCAAAATGAAAAGATTAGAAAAGTGAACTTTACATGACAACAGATATTAGGGGGAAAAATATTAAAGAAAACAAATAAATGTGAAAGCCTACCTAATGTGTGGTAAACAAAATATTGGGATTGATAAAGGAACTTGTAATTCACTTTTACATCCACAGCACTTTCTATCAACTGTGATATTATATTCTGAAAGTAATCGAAGTGGTGATACAAACCAATCAATAACATCACGAACATCGGATCTCAATATTGTATCATCATAAATTGAACCAACAATGTAAGTGAAATCGATAGATAAACAGTTAGAATCATTATTTATACAATCATCCAATGGGATTAATTGTTTAACAAGTCCTATACGAAACAATACATCAAATATACACAATGTACACGAAGAATTAAGATCAGCATTACGAAGATTGTGAATATCCAACAGAAGATGAATAATATTTGGTGAAACATCCTGAGAAACAAAAGACAAACGAAAATCAAGATAGATTAAATAATCAGAAATATAAATGACAAACAATGAAATATTCATCACAGAAACATGACAATAAACTAAGACAGTATATAAATGCAAACCTAAGTGACACAAAACACAAAAAACCATAAAAGTGTACATCAAGACAACAGAAGTGAACAAACAAAAATTTAAGAAAAGACAAACCAAATATATACAAGAACAAAAAAAAAATAACATAAAAACACCACAAACACACATTACACAACAACACAAATGTAACAAAATAATTATATGGCAACAATTTCAACACGACAAATCAAGTGCGATCAATCGATCATGGAGAAAACAAACATACACTACAAACACATTCACAAACACAACTACCACAAATCACTACCTACACTAAACACAACATCGCACGCAACAATCACAAATAACAACAGCATCAACACCACAATCACACTTCACACAACAACACAAATGTAGCAATATCATCATGTGGAAATAACAATTCCAACACTATCATATCGCATATCTATTTCGCACACAGTTTACACTGCACACGTGGACGTACAACCGAATACAGTTGACTCTGATGTGCACTCACAAACACCAACCAAACAACATAAACAATCTATCCATCCATCTATCAATCAATCTATCCATCCACCGATCAATCAATCTATACATCAATCCATCAATCAATCAATCAACCATTCAATCAATCAATCAATCAATCACAACAAACAAACAGACAAACAACACCTACAACAAATACACTCGTATTAACTAATCACAAACAACACAGCTACACAAACATCCAACACAACTCCATTCCACTAAACAATTACACACAATCATGTATCCACATTGGTTCACACACATGTCCAGTATACAAAACATGTGTAGATCGATCAGGACTCATCCATTTCCCCCACAAAACGTCAGATCAACACTAACTGCGATCACGCGATCATGGGGCAAACAACCATACACTACAAACACATTCACTAACACATACTCCCACAAACACAAATACCACAAATCACTACCTACACTAAACACAACATCGCACGCAACAATCACAAATATCAACAGCATCAACACCACAATCACACTTCACACAACAACACAAATGTAGCAATATCATCATGTGGAAATAACAATTCCAACACTATCATATCGCATATCTATTTCGCACACAGTTTACACTGCACACGTGGACGTACAACCGAATGCAGCTGACTCTGATGTGCACTCACAAACACCAACCAAACAACATAAACAATCTATCCATCCACCGATCAATCAATCTATACATCAATCCATCAATCAATCTATCCATCCACCGATCAATCAATCACAACAAACAAACAGACAAACAACACCTACAACAAATACACTCGTATTAACTAATCACAAACAACACAGCTACACAAACATCCAACACAACTCCATTCCACTAAACAATTACACACAATCATGTATCCACATTGGTTCACACACATGTCCAGTATACAAAACATGTGTAGATCGATCAGGACTCATCCATTTCCTCCACAAAACGTCAGATCAACACTAACTGCGATCACGCGATCATGGGGCAAACAACCATACACTACAAACACATTCACTAACACATACTCCCACAAACACAAATACCACAAATCACTACCTACACTAAACACAACATCGCACGCAACAATCACAAATATCAACAGATTCAACACCACAATCACACTTCACACAACAACACAAATGTAGCAATATCATCATGTGGAAATAACAATTCCAACACTATCATATCGCATATCTATTTCGCACACAGTTTACACTGCACACGTGGACGTACAACCGAATGCAGCTGACTCTGATGTGCACTCACAAACACCAACCAAACAACATAAACAATCTATCCATCCACCGATCAATCAATCTATACATCAATCCATCAATCAATCTATCCATCCACCGATCAATCAATCACAACAAACAAACAGACAAACAACACCTACAACAAATACACTCGTATTAACTAATCACAAACAACACAGCTACACAAACATCCAACACAACTCCATTCCACTAAACAATTACACACAATCATGTATCCACATTGGTTCACACACATGTCCAGTATACAAAACATGTGTAGATCTTTGGTCGCTACAGTTGGTGAACACGGCGAATCTGATGTAGATGTGAAGGCGCAGATCAGCAAAGCGACAGCAGCATATCCACAACTGACGAACATGTGGAACTCAAAACAGCTGTCAACCAACACCAATGTCACAATTTTCAATACAAATATCAAGACTGTTACACTGGATGGGGCAGAAACTACGAAACCCATCATCCAGAAGATGCAGGTGTTTATTAACATTTGTCTTTGCAAAATACTTCAGATCTATCGGTCAGACACTATCAGGAACAACCTATTGTGAGAGAGAACAAACCAGTTCTCAATGAAAAAAGAAACTGGGAAGAAGCGCTGGGAGTGGATAGGACACACAGTAAGGAAAGCACTGAACTGCGTCACATGGAATCCTAAATGCCATAGGGAAAGAGGAAGATCAAAGAACACATTATGCCGAGAACTGGAAACACACATGAGAAAGATGAAAAAAAATTGGGTTGAACTGGAAAGGTAGGCCCACGACAGAGTGGGTTGTAGAATGCTGGTCGGCGGCCTATGCTTCATTGGGAGTAACAGGTGTAAGTAGGTTGGCTGGCTAGGAAGCTATATATATGAAATGAAAATAAGTTAAGTATTAGTAACGTGGCATGAAATACTGTCCTGTTTCAGTTCCCGTTTGAAGGGGATGGGAGGCTGGGTTGTCTGTGTTGTCTTGACAATGGTAGTCTCTTAGCTGATCCAACTTTCACTTGAAATAGTCGACTGTTGGAGCATCAATCACGTGTTGACGTAATGAATTTCCATTTGTTGATTATTCTATGTGGAAGTTGATAATCAGTTGACAGATAATTTGTTTTGGGCTAGTGGAATTTTTTTGGAGTTTCCTCGTAAAATCTCTGTTTTGGAGGACAAGTAAAGTGAAGGTATTTCAGATGCAGATTTATCACTAACTAATTTCCCTGTGCTTCTTCGATATAACAATGGATATGAGCTTCGTTTAGCCATTCGAGTGTCATGTAGGAGCTTTTCTATTTCGGTATTCAGCATGAGTCAGTTCCCCGAACTTTTTCCAACAACTCGCAGCCTCTTTTTAGACAGAGACCAGCTGCTTGCATGCAGTACTTGAGTTTATGACAAACAAATACTGTTTGGCAAGTCAAAAAGTTGTTAGCATGGACATGGCCCTTCACATTGAACATTGGGTTCTAAAAGCTTTGACAGTTGTCACACGGCGGAGTGCAGTAGTTTCAAAGTCTTGTATAGCGGTGAAGCGTGGGTCATTTCCGTGACTGGACAACAGGTAGCTCGATGTTATCCACCCTTTATATGTCTGTATCGTTTTTATTGGCATGCATCTCGATGTACTTGTTAGCATTCAACAGCAACCGCAAAATTTTAGACCATTCAGGTCATTTCTTCGGATCATTTTGAAGCTACATATCTTGAGGTCACCAGCACATAACGAAACCGGTGGTAAAAGAAAACTAATAAGGTCATTTACATATAGGAGGAAGAACACTAGTCCCAAAACCACATTCTGAGGCATTCCACTGTGCAAAGTTTGTTAACTAGTCAGCTTGCAGTTAATCTGCTCTCTTTGTTGATGCTTCTAATCCAAGTATCAATTAACTTGGATCACAGTCAACTGCATGGAACTTTGGCAAGAGCCTTACTGAACTCAACAAAGGCCACTTTATAAGTAACTTTTGATTTTTAAGAGCTCACCATCTTTGAAAGGCTACTAACTTCAGGAGGAATACCTAAGAATGGAGAAGGTGAGCTCGTGGCGCAACGATAGTGCGTTTGACTCCAGATAAGCAGGTTGCGTGTTCGAATCACGTCGGGCTCTCCAATGTAGAATTATGGTCTACTATGATAATAGTACCGCTCTAATAATAGACCTATTCCTAAAATTGTAGATTTATCATGATATCACTGCCTAATCTGTAAGATCCTCCGTGGAAGTTACATCATCGTCTAAACCAACTCATCGCATTGTAACAATTACCAATACATGGTGGAGAACAAGCTTGGGCTAGAATTGGAACAATATATTTATTATGAATAAAAGATATAAGACAACATTCAGCAGGGACCACGCCTGAAAGTCCGAGCCAAGCCACCCGATCAACTCGGATTGATTCAATTCATTGTTTCCGCCTTATCCATTGCTAGGTATTTCTCCCCGTTAAATGTTGAATGTTTATTTCCCATATCGTCTCGTGTAAGGGCTCAATGTCACCACAAGTTAAAAATGCTAACCTGTTATAAAGACATTCTGCTTTTCAGAAATAATCCGGTTTTCTTCGAGACACTCAAACAACTCTCGAAGATTCTTACCTAAAATTTTAACAACTGCGCTGGTTAGGCTTAGAGATCGATAACCCTCCAATCTTGCTGAGGGTCGAGGCAAAAATAGTTCGGACTTCCATTATTGAGATTTCGTCTTGCCAGTACTCAGTAACCCAAATCTCTCCCACATTCTTCTATTACAGAGAAGAGTACGGACCTCTTTAATGAATCACAATAGCGATTCTCGGAATCCTTGATGTACTCTTAGTTACGTGCAGTGAACCAACTTTTATGAACGAATTTCTGAATACCCCTCACGACGTTTCAATAGTAGATTCTGATTCTATAGTTTAATTTATATATTCATTTACATACATAAACGTTGGTACAGGGAGGCATGGAATATATATGCGACACACAGATCATTTGATTTGTGTGATGGATGGAATACTGCCATAGTGCTCAGACCAAACTACGTGGTTTTCTTAGGAGATCACTTCCCGAGCCTTTGAAGTGAAAGTCTAGTCCACAAGGCAGTGAAGCGATGTCAGGAGATGCAATCCCATGGTAGCCGGTGACCAACTATAGGTTTATACTCCGTTGTGTCCTTGAGGATCCTGGAGTTCATATGAACCACTGATTTGGAATCTGGGTTTTCCATCTCCCGGATGTGGACCCTCCATATTCACCAATCCGGTTTAAATGCCGGATATGAGCTTTTCGTCCTCCAAATTTCGTGCACAAAACCCCGCCGCGAGAAGGCAGTGAGTAAGAATTCCCTATCAATGGATGTATATGTGCGGCAATGTGACAGTATTTCGAGAGGAAGACAGAGCTCAATTCACCCTCTGCCTTACAAAGGCATTCGGGGGCCATTCAGGACGTTTGGTCTGGCTTCGGTTGACACATCCTTACTGATGACTTCATGGAAATCGTCCTCATAATGGTTCAATATGAGATCTAGCAAGGACGATTAGGGGTCTGGGTTGTACCTAGTTGCTTGTTTCACATATGGTGAACGCATCAACGGTCTTA